CCAATCCACAGCTAAGTCAAACTTCTAAGGACAGTCTGTCTGGTAGGGAAATGTTGAGAGAGGAGCCCCACGCCTGTGGCAATGGCCCCTGTGCTGGGCGGGGCAGGCTCCTAGGCCTGTGCTGGGTCTCCCCAGGGCAGACATTTTCACCAGGTACCTTACCCAAAACGAGTGGGGTGATCCTAGAGGCTTGCTCCCTAGTGGACTGAGCTTCCCTGCCCATAGGTGAGGGGCAGGGCACTTTGGGGATAGCTGGTATGGAGCTACTGGACCTGGGGGTGAGGGCTCCCGAGGCTGCCAGCCTGTTGGACTGGTTGCAAACAGCTGGGTGCAGCTGTTTTCTTCACACATCCCACCTGGGCATGGGCCCTTGGAGGGCTCCTGCCAGGTGCGTGTGAGCCCAGGATGGGCAGACGGGCACATCTGGACTGAGTACCCTCACCCCTTGGTGCAGTGCTGTGGCCTACTGCTACTGCCACCACTCTGTGTAGGGGAGCACACACCAGGAGGAGCTCGAGACCCTAGCTCCCCTGGGCCCAACTCGTGAGCCTGATGTCGCCTCTCAGCCCCAGAGAAGAGAGAAAATATAGCTCTGTGGTGGGCAGAGTGGCGAGGGGCCTTTGCCCTCACAGTGATGCCCAGAGGCCAGAGAAGAGGTGAGAACACCCAGGGCAGCAGCTAGGCCTGCAGCCCTTAAGAGAGAGCCTCAGTTGAGGGAGTTTTCATTCCCTGGAGACTGAAGGGCTCTTGGACCCTGACTGGCCCAGCAGATACACACACTCACTACGAGATGCAAGGACCACAAAGCTCAAACCTGGGGGTTGGGGGGCAGACCTGGGCAGATGCTCTACTTAATAAGGGTTTTTAAGGAGCGAGTGAATGTGCTCATAACAGTCGCTGAAGCTGCGGACCCTGGTGGCTGCCTTGTGGCTGCCCCTGTAGCTGCTGCCACCTGCTGCTGCCCCTGTAGCTGCTGCTGTCCCTGTAGCTGCTGTTGCCCCTGTAGCTGCTGCTGCTGCTGCAGTTGCTGCTGCTGCTGTTGCTGCTGTTGCTGCTGGTTAAGGTTCCGGGCTGTGGATTCCTCAGCTGCACGCAAAAGGAAGGTATAATTCCTCACCACCTCTTCCACCTTGGCCAACAGCTCTTGGCGCTGGGCTTCAGAGTGCACAATGAACACCAGCCGCACAAAGGTCTCAATGAGGCTGCTCAGCACCTGGAAGCTGCCTGTGATGGCTGCCAGCATGTGAGTTGGGCTCTTGTCCACATTGGCCACACGGCGGCAGGAGGCCCGAAGCTCCTTGAACTTGAGAGCTAGCTCGAGCTTGTACTCAGAGATCTGAGAGACATAGGGCTTGGGAGCACGGGCCTCAGGGCTGGCCACACACTGCCTTAAGACTGTCAGCAGCTCATTAGTGTCCAGGCGGGCAGCCAGGAAGCCATCAGGGAGGCCATAGGCATGGGTGCGCAGGGCGTTGATCTTGGCCAGGCTCCCCTCGAAGGTGGACACCCGAAGGTCAATTTCCTGGGTCCGGGAAGCCTCAGGGCTGCTGCTGCAGGTGGCCGCATCCAGCACTTGCAGGGTCCTGCTCACCACAGGTACCACCTGCTCATCCAACTTCATGCCTGGCAGAATCTTCATGGGAATAGAGTAGGAAAGTTCATCCTTGCCATCACTGGCATCATCTGCCATGTCACACTTGCGATAGTAGAAGCAGTAGCGGATAGAACAGCACTTGCCACTCTCACTGTCCTCGTCCAGCTCGGCAGGCTTCCGGTACACCTCCTCTGGCAGTGAGAACACAGCCATGTGTCTGGGGCCTTTGGTCTCAGGGGCAACATGGACATATGAGGGTTCTCCCAACGTTGGTGACTCCACCAATTTGCTTTTGGGACCCAAGCTTAGGGGGAGGCCTGCCTCTACCTCCTTGGCTTCCCTGGGCAGCATACCCAGGGGTGGGTGTGGGTAGATGTCTGAGGTCAGCGGGGCCCTGTCATCCTGGTCCAGCTCACTGATACTGTAGCGGCGCATCAGTTTTCTATAGTTGGGAGCTCCCAGACACTCACCCCCGGAGGCACACGTGGTCAGGCACGAAACACCACTCTCAGGCTCCGATCGGCATTCTCGGGACTCCAGGCTGGTGGAACGGATGCGTTGGACATTGATGGGACTGCTGAGGCTCAAGCCTGGGCCAGCCTCAGGCTGCCTCTGGGTAGGGGGGAGCCTGTCCTTCTCCCTTCCCCAGAGGCCAGGCACTGGTGTCTGGGTGGTCTGTGGTCGGCCCCCCCGGCAGATGCGCTTGCAGTCACAGCTTCGCCTCTGCTCTCGGGACATGCCAGGTCCCTGCTGCACGGGGCTGCTGCGTAGCTGGCAGCTGCAGCGGCCAGGTGCGGGAGGTTGCAGGTATTCGGTGCTGGGCAGCTCACCCTGGCTTGGTGGCTTTAAAAGTTCCTCGAGGAACTCCAGCTCATACTGCTTTACCTTCTGCAGCTGGGCTTGTCGCTCATCTGTCTCCTTTTTCTGGCGGGTGGGGAAGGTGGCAGAGAATAAATTTCGTAGCCGGAAGGGACCTCGGGATGACTTGGGCTTTGTGGGTCCTTCAGAGGCTGAGTGGGCTCTATCCAGGGTATCAAGCTTCCTGGAAGGCATGGTGCTCACCTGCCAGCTGGTAGCTGGAGGCTTCAGTGGGCTCTGGCCTCGAGGCTGGCAGCTGGGGCTCTGGCCTCGGGACTGGCAGCTGGGGGTGCGGCTTCCAGGCTGGAAGCTAGGGCTCTGCAGAGCCATGGAGTAGCCAGCTGGGGGGACCAGGCTGTTGTCCTCAAGCTTGCTGCTTTTGAATGTGCTATCCAGCTGCCCCCTCTCCGCTTGGTTGGAGATGGCACCCTGCTTGTGCAAGGTAGGCTTTGCTCCCTCTGGCCTGTCCTTGCTGACCATCTCCCCTGTAGCTTGCTTGCCTGCTGACTCTCGACTTGTTCTCGAAACATAGCCTTTGGGAGGGAAACTTTGAACAGGGAGCCTGTTCTCTTGTGGGGAGAGGTATAGGCTGTCGGCCCGGCTACCTGTGGGTGCTCTGGGGCTGGAAGAGACCTCTGGTCCCAGCTGCTGCTGGGAATTCTGTGGAATCTCTGGAGCACCGGGGCTCATTTTAAACTTCAGATTCTTATTGGTACTGCTGCCCATCATGCTAACCTCTGGCCTGCCCATGCTGACCTCTGGCCTCCCAATGCTGGCCTCTAGCCTTCTCTCTCCCCTGCCAGGGGGGTTCCCCAAGGCCCCAGTAGTGGGAGCTAGACTCTTACTATGAACCACCTGCTGTAGGGCAGCAGAGATGATGGCTGGCGTCACACTGCCTTTTGGGTCCAGGATAAGCTTGGGGCTCAACCTGACCTCCTTGGGCAGGTTCTCTCTCAGCTCTGAGACCTGCTCTTCACTGAAGGAGGGTGTGGCTGCCCTCAGTGACATCTCCATGCCAGCCCTAGTGTGGCCAGGCCCTTTGTCCTCAGGCACTGAGGGGAGCAGGCTAAGATTCTTCTGCTCACTAAGCTGACTAAGCTGAGGGGACAGTGCCGGATGCACTGCCAGGGAGTATGTTCGCTCTCCCTGTGCCTGGGCCTCTGACTGGGGCAGCTTTCTCCGAGTGCCTGGCGGGGCAGGACTCTGGCCTGTGAGAGCTGGCTGGAAGGACAGATTGGGATCTGGGCGCCCGAGAGAGTAAGGGGCTGTGAGAACGGCCTGGGCTGCGCAGCTCTGGATCCGGAAGGGCAGGTCCTTGTTGAGGTGTTGGGCCAGGAAGTAGGTGGTATTCTGGTGTTGCTTCATGGCCGACATCATCTCTGACATGTCTGTGAGCTCTGAAGAGTTGGTTTCATGGCCAGAGTCCAGTGATGATTCAGGAGTAATTGTGGCCAGCACAATCAGACCTGGAGGATTAGGAATGGGGCTAGTTACACCACATACAGGGAGTTCACGGAGGCCACAGTTAGCCATCAGTATTTCAAACTGGGGCAAATGTGTCAGGCCTGGAGGGGGAGGGCTGAAGGTAGGAGGAGTGAAGGGGAGGGCCAAAGAGAAGATGTGATGAAGGGTATAAAAGGCTAGAATAACAAAAGAGTAACAAAAAGAGGGGAAGAAAAGATCCGAGGCAGTTTGGTGGCAAATTAACATGCAAAACACATGCAAAACAACATGCTAATCAACACTATTTTTAGATTCAACAGCTAGGAAATGTCTGTTAACTGTCCTGAAGAGGGCTGGCAAAGAGAGGGCTCTTTATATCTCTTCTCATCTGGCCAAGCCTGCCCACAGCCCATGCAGCTGAGGCCATTTATCTGAGTTTATGCGCTGGCGCTCTCTCTCTCTCTCTCTCTCTCTGTCTCTGTCTCTCTCTCTCTCTCTCTCTCTCTCTCTCTCTCTCTCTCTCTCTCTCAGCTACATAGGACTCTAGCCTAGGAGCAGCTAGTGCTTGGAGCTCTAGATTTGGAGCAAAGAGAAATGCCAGACCCTCCCGGTGGGGGGGTGGCGTGGCTAACGTGGGGACTGCCCAGCACGAAGGGTGCACTCATTTACAGAAAAGGCAGGTTTCCTCTGACCCCAGTCCCTTTACCCTCTCTGTCTATACCTTTTCCTGCCTCATATTCCTTATTCCTTTCTGCTTCTTTTCTGTTGCTGTGTCATTTACCACTCTGTCTAAAGGCGTATGTATATGGAGCTATGTATGTGTGACTATGGGTCGGTATTTGTCTAGAAGATGGTATATATGTGTCTATAGCAGGGGAGAACAGGCATGTTGTATGGCTCTCCTACCCTCTAATAATTGTAGTAGGTACCACTTACTGAATCCTTACTGTGTGTGTGTGTGAGGCAATGTTTAAGCTTTGCCAGAGTCATATCACTGAATATTCACAAGCCTATATGCTATGATGACTATTATCCAGCCCATTTAAGATGACAACAGTGAGGCTCAGAGAGGGAGTGCCTCACCATTGGTCCCACTGTCAGTGAGTTCAGAAACCAGGACTCCAGTGCATGTGACTGAGAGCCCAGGTTGTCAGGCAGAATACAGATCTCAGTTCTGAGCATCACTGATGGCTCTTGGCTCCCCTAATCCCAAAGCACTGGGTGGTTAGTTAGTCCTTTTGCTTTTCCTTCAATTATGTGCATGTAGATATTCTTGGCCTATCTTCTATATCTCTCACAGTTCTTCTCTGATCCCTCCATCCTGGCCTGGCTCCATACCTGTCATGGCCCCAATCCCTGGGATCCATTTACAAGACATGTCCAGAGATGGAATGAGGAGAAGCAGAGCTCTAGCAAGAGCTGTACAGCCCATCCCTGCCATAGCACTGTTTTTCCCTGGACCCTACCTAACTACCTCTGGCCCGTCCACTTCCCTGACACACACCACACCATGGTAACTTTAACATCCACTTGGGAATAAGCAAAGTTACATGTTGGCCCTCCCTGGCCAGGAGAAGGAAAGGAGCCAAAAGTGAGGAGGAACGGGTGGTTACCTGCAGTCTGTGGGGGAGGGGGATGTGTTCCATCTTCTGAAGCAGCCAGGGCTTCCAGAGCCTGTAGAGTAGATACCAGGGCATCATCTAACTCCTGGGCATGATCTCTGACTGTCCGGGTCTGCACACTGTCAATCAGTGTCACTGGAATCTCATCATACAGGAGCCCATGCAGGTGCCGTCCTTGTTCCTGGCTTTGGACAGCCCGGCGCTTGGGGTCATCTTCATCAGAGCTGTTGTCTCGAAAACCAGGCGGTGGGGCGGCAATGGCAGGCAACAGAGAAGTTGTCTCATCTTCCTCTTCCTCTTCCTCCTCACTCCCAGGTGGTGGGAGGGACATCAAGTCCACAATATTGTCACGAGAGGAGCCAGGCCTTCCACCTTTCCGAGGGCCTAGTTGCTCCTGGAGTTTGGCTTTGCAAGAGTCACAGTAGAAATTCAAGGCTTCAGCCCCAAGGGAATTGTCCAAGGTGTAGGACCGGGCCCTGCTAGCGCAAGGCTCATGGTCTAAGCTGGCTGCATCAAAGTCAGCCGGGATGACATGGTAACCTGGGCCAGAGCTTTTTGATGTGGGGTCAGACTTGGTCCGGGGCCTGGTCTCCTCAAAGAAGATTAGGTTCTCATTGACATCTGTCCGGCTTTCCTGCTCTTTCCTTTGTTCCCGCATGTGGAGGTAGCAGAAGCTGACAAGCTCAGAGTCGGCAGGTGGGGGTGTGCAGCGGCTCGAATTCCTGGGGCTGGTGCCCACGCTGCCCACATAACTACTCTCCTTTTTCCCCAGGTGGCCCCCAGTGACAGGGCGGTGGGCGCTGTGCATGTAATCTAAACCCAGAAAGAGAATCAACAGATGAGCCCTGGTGATGAAAACTGTGGCTGAGCTCCCTCAGGATATCTGGCCCATGACTCCACAGCACAATTGCATGGCAGATATCAAGAGAAAGCATTTCCTGATTCTAGAGACTAGGGGGAGGGACTTACGGGCCATGTCACTGCCGACCCTAAAAGTAGAGTGGAGTGTGTAGAATCTAATGGCTTCAGCTGCTAATAGGCCCATCACCTCTGAATTGGGAAAAATCATGAGGCAAGGTGTCAAGAAAACACTGGTGGCTGGGCACCAGCTGGTCTCTTACACCAATGCTTCTGGTCTGAGAGTCAGCGGTAAACATACTAAAGAAGAAGGGAGGTTTGTTTTCCTTTCCTCTGAGACCCATTCCTGCCCCTATCCCCTACTCCACTTTTGAGTAATTACAACTGCTACTGTTGTCTTGGATCTCTTCTAGCACAAAGAAATAAATCTGACAAGTTATTAGTGCTGTGCTGAGAGTGTTAAAGTGGTTAGTTGATGCCCAAGCATCTGCATTTCAAAGAGGACTGCTGATGGAGGGGCACTAAAAGAACAGCTATCTACTAGTGGAATTCTGGGCATCAGAATTCCTAAAGCATATGGGAGCTATGGCAGGTGTGCCCTGTAGAAGGAGGATAGAGCAGCATTCTCATACTTCTTCAAAAGATCAGTCTTCAAAACATAATTCTTATATTCAAGCAGAGTGGTAAAATGTTCTCATTAACAGCTTTTTATTTTTTTCTTCAGTAACTAGGGATAAACCTAGGGGCACTCTACCACTAAGCTATATCCCCAGGGCTTTAAAATTTTTCAGAGGATCATGCTAAATTGTCCAGGCTGGGCTCAAACTTGTGATTCTCCTTCCTCAGTCTCTGGAATAGCTGGGATTACGGGTGCATACCCACATGCTGCTTCACCCATGGCTCTTGAAGGTAGGTGTGTACATCTGAGAACTATTCATAGCAAATACTTTATCTCTGAATGGCTTCTCTTGAACACTGTTTTGGGAGCCCCTCTCATGTCATCTGTGAACATATACTCAGACAATGCCAACTTGCTCTGCTATCAGATAGATGGCAAGCAAGCAGTAGTTTAAGCTAAGCGATCATTATTATCATGATCTCATTTAAGCCTTACAGTCCAATGAGGTAGGCATTATCATTATCCTCATTTTACAGAGTAAGAAATTGATCCAGATGGTTATGTGGGCCAGGCGTGATGGCACACGCCTGTAATCCCAGCACTCAGGAGGCTGAGGCAAGAGGATTGCCTTGAGTTTGAGATCAGCCTGGGCCATGCAGTCAGTTCAAGGCCAGTCTGAACTACAAGGCAAGACCCTGTCTCAAAAAAAAAAAAAGATGGTATGTGATTTAACTAAGGTCACATGAATTGTAAGTGGCACACACTTATAATCCCAGCCCTCTAAGAGGCTGAGACAGGAGGATCACCAGTTCCAGCCCAGCCTGGGGAACTTATTGAGACCCTGTCTCAAAATTTTAAAATAAAGGGGGCTGGAGATAGAGCCCAGTGCCTGGTTTCCATCCACAGTACTGGAAATAAAAAGTGGCAATCTAGATTTAAGCCCATGTCTCGAGGGCTTCAAAACCCATGTTTTTAACCACCTCTCTGCAGTTCATCATAGTGGTCAAGATGCTAGAAAACGACTTTAAAATGCCTTTCAAATTCCAGTTTGACAGGGTCAATGTGTCAGTGTTGCCTTTTACTAGAGCTTACACTGTGACAAAAAGACAGTGCTGGCATCTAACAACAGAGCCCCAAAACACATGAAGCAAAAACTGACTGAATTATAGGGATAAAGACACAATTCAACAGTAGCTAGAGCCAGACTTGGTGGTCCCTGCCCCTGTGAGGCAAGAAGATCAAAAGTTTGAGGCCAATCTAGACAATTTAGCAAGACCTTGTCTCAAAATAAAAATTTAAAAAAAGGTCTGGGGATGTAATTCAAAGGGTAGAGCACTTTCCTAGCATGGTTGAGGCCCTGGGTTCGATCCTCATATAGAAACAAAACAAAACAAAATAAACAACAGTAATTGGGGCACTTTAATTCCCCACTTTTTGGGGGGGGGTACCAGGGATTGAACTGAGGACTTTGAGCTTGCCGGGCAGGTGGCAGCACCACTGAGCTAAACCCCTGGCCCCTCTTTTTATAATAGATAAAACAAAAGTACATCAACAAGGAAATATGAACAATGAACAAGCTGGGCATGGTGGTGCATGCCTGTAATCCCAGCGCTCAGGAGGCTGGGGCAAAAGGATTGCTGCCATAGTAAGTCCCAGGACAGCTGAGAGAGGGAGAGGGATAGGGAGGGGGAGGGGGAGGGGGAGGGGGAAGGAGAGTTGGAGGGGGAAGGAGAGGGAGAGGGGGAGGGAGAGGGAGAGGGAGTGGGAGAGAGAGATGAACAATGCTATAATTCAATTAGACCTAAGAAATCTATATAACACTTCCTTGACATCAGCAGAATATAGATTTTCCTTGTATGGAACATTGTCCAAAATAGACTATATGTTATACCATAAGTCTCAATAGATTTAAAAGGAATAAATTCATACAAAGGTTCTTCCTGTACACAGCGGGATTGAATTAGAAATCAAGAGCAGAAAGAAATTTGGGGAATTCACAAATATGTAGAAATTAAACAAAATACTCTTGTTTTCCCCCTGTGGTAATGGAGATTAAGCCAGGGTGGCTTTTGTATTGAACTATATCTCCAGCCTTTTTTTGTTTTGAAAGAGTCTTGATAAGTCACTAAATTGCCCAGGCTGTGCTCAAACTTGCAATCCTCCTGCCTCACTCTCCCAGAATACTATAGTTACAGGCACATGCCACCACACCTGACCTAAAATACTCTTAAATAAGCAATTGGCAGAAGGAATCACTCACAAGAGAAATTAGAAGTACTTTGAGATAAGTGAGAATGAAGATAGATAAGTGAAAATGAAGATACAACATACTAAAACTATAGGATATACCTAAAGAAGTACTCAGAAGGAAAATGTAGCAGTACATGCCTATGTTAAAAAAGAAAAAAAGGGCCGGGGATTTAGCTCAGTGGTTTCGCTGCCTGCTGTGCAAGCATAAGGAACCAAGTTCGATCCCTGATACAAAAGAAAAAAAAGAAAGAAAGGAGCTGGGGATTTAGTTCAGTGGCGCCAGCCTGTGCCTGCCTTGCAAGTGCAAGGTGGGGGGGTGGGTGGGGGTGGGTATGGTGGTGTACGCCTGTAATCCCAGCACTCAGTAGCCTGAGACAGGAGGATCACTGCGAGTTCCAGGCCAGCCTGGGCTACATAGTGAGCTCAAGGCAACCTAAACAGCATAGTGAGACCTTGTCTCAAAATAAACAAACAAACAAACAAAATAAATTCAAGTGAAGCAGAAGGAAAGAAATAGTATAAAGGGTAGGAAAAAAATAGAGAAAATTAATAAAATTAAAAGTAGTTTCTTTGAGACGATCAATGAAATTAACAATTTAGATAGCCTATACAAAAGAGACAGAAAATTATTAAAATCAGGAATGAAAAAGGGGACATCACAACTGACAATACAGATATGGAATTGGGGGGATTTAGCTCAGTGGTTTCGTCGCCTGCTGTGCAAGTGCAAGGACCCAAGTTCAATCCCGGGTACAAAAAAACCCAAAACAAACAAACAAAAAACAACAACAGATATGGAATTGATTATATGGGAATATAATGACTAAATTTACACCAACAAATTATATAACCTAGGTCATTGAGACAAATTCTTAGAAACATACAACATGTCAAAACTGATTCAAGAAGATTGAACATCTAAATAGGCCAATAACAGGAGAATTGAATTAATACAATAATTAAAATCTCCTTCCCCGCAAAAAAATTCCAGGCCCAATGGCTGCATTGCTGAATTCTACCAAATACTCAAAAAGTATTTATACTAAATCCTTCACAAAGTCTTTCAAAAAATAGAAGAGGGTAGAGTACTTCATAGCTCATTCTATGAGGCCGGTATTACCTTGATAACTAAACTAGACAAAGACATCATAAGAAAACTATAGGACAAATAGCTCTTATGAATGTAGACACAACAAAATACTAGCAAACTGAATCCAGCAACATTTAAAAAGAATTATACACTATAACCATTTATTGCTGTGATGCAAGATTGGTTTAACAAAAACATCTATTAATGTAATACACCATGTTAATAGAATAGAGTACAAAAACTTCACACTCATCTCAATGGATACAGAAAATCATCTGACCAAACCCAACTCCTTTTCATGATAAAGCACTAAACAACCTAGAAATAAAGGAGAACTCTCGCAACATGATACAGGTTATTTATATAAAAAATACTTACAGCTGACATATTTGATTCAAATGAAAGACTAAGAGCTTTCCCTTAAGATCAGGAAAAAGTCTAGGATGTTTGTGGTCACTCCTTTTTTTTTTTTTTTTTGGTGGGACTGGAGATGGAACTCAGGGCCTTTTCACTGAGGTACATCCTCAGCCCCTTTTTAACTTTTATTTTGAGATAAAGTTTCACTAAATTGCTACATTGATGAGGCTGGGCTGGAACTTGGGATCCTCCTGCCTCAGCCTCCCACAGTGCTGGGATTATGGGTGTGCACCACCATGCCTGGCTATTGCTCTCACCACTTCTATTCAGCACTATATTGGAAGTTCTAGCTGGGTAATTAGTAAATAAAATGAAATATAAAGCACCCTGAGTGGAAAGGAAAAATAAAACTATTCCTTTCTGCAGATAACATGGTCTTGTATATAGAAAATCTCAAGGAATTCACTAATAAACTCTTAGAACTAATAAATAAATAAGCACAGCAAGGTTGTAAGATATGAGTACAATGTACAAAAGTTAATTGTATGTTTACATATTCACATTCAGAACAATCTGAAAATGAAATCATAAAAAAATCTATTCACAGCTGGGCGTGGTGGGTCATGCCTGCAATCCCAG